AATTGAGTCAATGTCCCCTACTGAGTGGGCATTAATTAAGCACCACAAGAATATTCATCTCAATTGGCTATGAAAGTCCCACTCGGCCTACCGAGTGGATTCAAGCCAGGACCTATTCGTCTCGTCTAAGACATTTTCATGCTATTATTTCCATCCAACCTCATGCTTTCAATGCAAATGAGCCCCATTCAGCCAAACTTGTCCCATTCGGTACTTTGCAACTTCATTCGGTCGCTTACATCTCCATCCGGCCAAACACGTTCATTCAACCTCGTGCATCTCCATCCAGCCAAACACCTTCATTCAACTCTTTGTTTCTCCATTTAGCCTATTCTTCAACACATGCATCCCAGGCATAGTATTTCTTTCTCTAGTTGACTTATTATTTATTTGGTTTATTATATACGCACGCCATGAATCACTTCTCCATTTAGCCATGAGTTTGTTTGGCTTATTACTACTCCATTTAGCATATTCTTGATTTGGTATACTATTACACATGCACGCCATTACTTCTCTTATTCAAATTATTGTTGATAACTACACACCATGCGTGATACCATATGAAGTTGTTTTAAGTCATCTACTATGATCACCTTCAATCAATTTACATTGACTTGGCCACAAGGCCTGGTTTCTTGAAAATTTCAACTACAAAGTTGGTCACGCTGACTGGGCCACATAGTCCTCAAAGGTTTTCAACTACAAAGTCGATCACGCCGACTGGGCCACATAGCCCTCAAAGGTTTTCAACTACAAAGTCGGTCACTCCAACTAGGCCACATAGCCCTCAAATGTTTCCAACTACAAAATCGGTCGCATCGACTCGACCACATAACCCTCAAATATTTCCAACTACAAAGTCGGTTACGTTAACTTGGGCACACTGCCCTCGAACTTTCAACTACAAAGTCTGTTATGCCAACTTGGGCACGCTGCCCTCAAACTTTCAACTACAAAGTCGGTTACGCCAACTTGGGCATGCTGCCCTCGAACTTTTAACTACAAAGTCGGTCACGCCGATTCGATCAACATCTTGAAGTTCAACTACAAAGCCGATCACGCCAACTTGATCAACATCTTGAATTTCAACTACAAAGTCTATCACACCGACCTGACCAACGCCTTGAATTTCAACTACAAAGTCGGTCATGCGGACTCGAACACAAGGTCGAATCTCCATACATCTCCCAACTTAGGTTGGTCGAGCAAATTCCTCTCAACTCAGGTTGGTCAAGTGAACTTTCATATTCCATACAATGGTCCATCTAACCTGACAAGCTTCCAGCATTGATCCGTTCAGTCCGCACTCATTCGATTTAAACTACTCTCTAAGCTAAATACCCTTTAACTTGGAGAGCGAAAGGCTAACTGTATGGGCAAAAAATTACCTTGGGCTTGACGAGGCCCAATAACGAAATAAACATGTCACTGCCCAACGCCTTAACCCAATTTCGGTTGGGCCTACGCTTAAAGTTGCCTTGTGAACTGCCCACTCTATGAGTTGGGCTATCCTACAAGTTAAGCTGGACTGGGTTCCAGCCCATTAGCCTACAATAGTCCATAAATAGGAAATCAGAATCATATTATATTTCCTCTTCTGCTGAGATTCTGAATCTTACTCAAACTGCTAAACTTAATCTGATAAAGACAAGAAATCCTATCTCTTTCCTGATAGTGATTATCTCCCAAAGTAAGACTCAGTGTCTTACTAAGATTTATACCCCCTGGGTTCACTATATAAACAGAGGCTTGCCCTCTCATTAAATAATCAATCTCCAATAATCAATCTTAACTACTCAAAACCATTTATTTGCTCCTGAAGTTCTTGCTCCCAAGAACCTGACGCCTCCGCTATAGTCCTAGCCTACGACAAGACTCCTGGTAACCCTTATTCTCCTTAATTCTTATCAAATAATCTCTTTCAGTCTTGCTAACTTAAGTGTCAAAGTGCCTACGGCAAACACCACCCTGGTGTTTTCCGTAAGCTTCACGCTTGTCCTTTCATGTGTGTAGTGTTAGTGAATGACCCACTTATGCAGCGGAAAACAAAAACATAAATTACATGGATCGTTCCTTAGAACCAAGATACGGGTATAATATCACAGTTTATACAATATATAAATTAAATCTACAGAAAATCAGATTCAAAGTTCAATAATCTTACGCACGTTTGGAGGCTCCTCCAACTTTGTCCTTGAATGTTTTGCTACTGACCCAAGTGTAGGATCGAACCGACGTAGTCCACATGAAGATAATCTCAAGGAACTAAGGAGGGATTTGCTAGATCCTCCTTAGCCTTAAGAAACAAAGAAGAAAATGAGTATTTGATTTTAGCTAAACCAAATCTGGAGTGGGAGAGAAAATGGGACTGTAGGGTTTTTCACTTTTCAATGAATAGTGAATGAATGAAAACTATTAACTTTTTTCAATTAACACATTTTCTTTTATAGTGTTATTTTACTTGCCCTATTCCCATATGGAATGGGCTTGGGCTCCAACCCAAATACCCCATGTTTCCAAACACCCCCTAATTAGATATTTATTTTAATTCACCATTATCTTCAATTAAAATCAATTAATATATATTTAATATATATATTAATATTTAACAATAATAATAATTTATTTAAATATATGTGAACACATATTTAAATGTAATTTCACTTATTTAATTTTTTTAATAAATTAAATAAAGGCTACGACCTCAGCAAATTTAATTACACTGTAAAATTACCAAAATACCCTTTCGGCTAAAAAGATGAAAACGCCCTTCTTTCTTCTTGGCTCTTAAATTATCTTCTATGTGTATGACCCATAGGCTCCTCATTGTATCGACAGTATATAGTATCGCGATTAACACCAATTAATCGTCTCACTAATACACAGACCAAGATTGGCCCCTAGCAAGGCATCATGGCCACCCGATAGATTCAGATTCAGCAAAATAGCTTCCTGTCAATGATATGGTTACCGTACAATTCGATCCTTTCATCATACGTTATCTCGACAAGACGAAGGCATAGAAATAGTGTCAACTTTCAGTTACTCTCGATATTATGTATTCAGTTTCTAGACCGATGACCTATATTATAATCCGGATAGAACAACAACTCAATCCCATGTGGCCACAGTTTTAGTGTCATTGCCATATACTGAATTGCGCCGTGAGGTAATTTCTCCCGTACCCGGAAGTGATGAATCCTCTGTCAATCCACCATAGTCTTGATACACTCCTTGATGCAGCCAATCACCACCGTATTGACAGCTCTGAATAGAATTGCGTTAGGCTAGTGTCAAACTGCACCAATCGGTACATAAGGCGCTCCGGTGATCTCAAGTCTAAGGATCACATGCACCACCATTCGTTAGAGGATTTGTTCCATAGACACTGGGGTTACCATCCATATGGAATCCTCTGATGGGTCAGTCCAGTGAACTTGTTGCGATATATCTGCCTACAGCAAGTACCCATGTGTTGCACCAGGTTGTCACTAAACAAGTGAGATCAGTCACTGCCTTTCGACAGGGTCGTTCAACACTATGATAGCCTTACTGTATTATCTGTGCCCTTACTTCAGAATAATACTGGGGCTATAGACGTTTCTAGAATGGCCACCATATGTGCTCATAGGGTTCTCACTATCAAGATTTGAAACACTTGATACCCTCGTCACGGTTCTACCATTCTAAGGACATATATCAATAAATATTGCAATAATAATGATTTACGCGATATAGAATAAAATGCCTTTTATTATTGATTAATGAACATTATTACAAAGAGTCAATTCTACAATAATTGATTGGCTTTAGGGCATCTATTCTAACATGCAGGTCTAGTAGATTGTCAGTGGCCTCAACCTCACAGGATTAGACCTTATTTTCATGACAGTAGATTTTTTGCATCTACTATTATTTATACGTACCAATTGATTTCAATCTAACCAAACATATTTAATATAACATTCCTAATAATCTTCAAGGTAATATATCTTCCTATTAATATATTATTTCTAGTAATACAATATTCCCTAAACTAAATGCCCTCTGACATCTTTCTTTTCTCACAAGGTCTAGGTCAAGCAAAGCTGCACTGGAAGCCACCGACAATTGTGTCATGCATATTAAGGGTGAGTAGTTCCGAATACTCTGCATTTTTTGAAAAAACTAGAACCATAATCGGAATTGAAACCGATCGGTTCCAATTCCTAGAAACTTGGAACCACAACCTAAAACATAGGTTCCTGTTCTGGTTTGATACCCAAGTTAATTTTAATTGCCCCCTACTTTTAAAAAAAATGACAAATACACCCTCAAAAAATTACAAATACACCCCCAACAATTTATAATAATTCAGTCCTGATCCTACTCGGATACCCGAACCTCAATTCTAGTTCCAATTCTAGTTCCCGATTCCAGCACTGTAGGAACCGAAACCAAACTCGAGAATTCTCAATTCCAATTTTTCAGAATCAGGGTCTAGTTCCTATTCCTACTTGAAACCTTGTTCTACCTTTTACCCATGCTCACCCATTGCTACCATAGTGTGTAATCTAAGATTTCCAATTTGATGCGAAGTCATTCATCAACGATAGTCATAAAAGTTTGGCTCAAGAATAAATATATTTTCTATATGTAGTATATGAAATCAATTATAAATGTTTATTCTTAATAGGGGCAAATAATAATTAAAGCTTTTGTGTTAAGGCCTAAACTTGTCACTGGCTTAGCTGGCTAGGATGAAGCCGAGATACTAGCCACCGTGTCTGTCACGTGAGTTACTGAATCGTTGATAAAACAGCCAAATTCTCGAGCAACGAGAAACTAACCTTGCTCCATAGTAATTAGTAAACGCATAGGAGCATCACGGGCGTAAAGTCTGAGCTTTCAAACACAAACAAAAGAACAGAAACCCTCTACGTATAATTTATAATACAGTTAAGTCTATATATATATATATATATCACGGACTCGATTCAGTGCATCTCAATCCCATTTCTTACTTTCCAATTGTCCATCACGGGCTGCAACAAAACAACATGTGCTCATTATAAAATTATAACAGCCTTCCTTAGAATTACATAACAAAATCTTTTTTTTTTCTTCCTCTGTTTCACAATGAACAGAGCACGTAAGTTCTCTGTTTTGGTTTATATAACCCTTTTTTGTTTATGTTGGAGGAGAGTTTCAGCGCAGTCGTCGCCGGTTTTCGCTTGCGATGTTGCGAGCAATCCTTCTTTGGGGAGCTTGGGGTTCTGTAATTCTTCGTTGGGGTTAGATTTGAGAGTTGCAGACTTGGTGAAGAGATTGACATTGCAAGAGAAAATTGGGTTTTTGGTTAATAGTGCTGGGAGTGTTAGTAGAATTGGAATACCGAAATATGAATGGTGGTCTGAGGCTTTACATGGAGTGTCTTACGTTGGTCCAGGGACTCATTTTTCTAGTCTCATTCCTGGAGCTACGAGTTTTCCTCAGGTTATTCTTACTGCAGCTTCCTTCAACACATCTCTTTTTGAAGCCATTGGAAGGGTAAATATTTCTTCTTTTTTATGCATATGTTTTTATATAATTCTTTAATCCATTCATCATCATCAACTTTTTCTTCTTCTGTAGCTGTTTAACTTTGTTGTATTAAGAAAACGAGTTTTGATTAAACGTCTGAATTGATTGAAAGTAACCATATTCATAAAAATGCACTGAGGGTATACTATGATATGGACAGGAAAAGAGAAAGAGAAAAGAAACAAAAACAAGTAGTTCTGATTTTCTCTTTTTAGGTGTGGGAATTTATTAATTATATCTTTTTCTATAATATTATGCACTGTTTAATCCAAACGCCAATGAATAGAAAGCACTTAGTTATCAGACCATATGTATATGCCTTGTATAAATTTATGTGAATAATGAAATGGATGCTTTTGCTTTTTGATTTATTGGACTATTAAAATTATAAAGGACAGTGCTAAAGATAGTAAGTAGAGTAAACCAAATTGTCTATGTTATCTAGAAGAAAGTAGTTGATATTTTCTGACAAATTTTTACCTAGGGAAATACTTTACGGAAACAGAGTAGTTAGTAGTCTTTGAAAGACTTTTTAGTGAAGGATTAACGAGATGGTGATAGAGAGAGAGTGCCATCACATCATTAAAAAAGTGCTTATGCAATTGCTTGAAAGAATAATCTTTGAAATTAAGATGTTTTTATTTATATTATATTTAGGTGGTCTCAACTGAAGCAAGAGCAATGTACAATGTGGGATTAGCTGGATTAACATTTTGGTCACCAAATATTAACATATTTCGAGACCCCAGATGGGGAAGAGGCCAAGAAACTCCAGGAGAAGATCCTTTACTCGCAAGTAAATATGCAACAGGTTACGTTAAAGGTCTACAAAAGAGTGATGATAGTGACCCAAATAGGCTTAAGGTTGCCGCATGCTGCAAACATTATACAGCCTATGATTTAGATAATTGGAAAGGGATTGATCGCTACCACTTTAATGCTGTGGTAATTAATTTAATTTATTTAAATATTTCCTTTTTGAAGTATTATTGTGTTTAATTTGGTTGTTATGAGTTAGGTAACAAAGCAGGATATGGATGATACGTTTCAACCACCATTTAAGAGTTGTGTTATTGATGGGAATGTGGCGAGCGTTATGTGTTCTTATAATCAAGTTAATGGTAAGCCAACATGTGCTGACCCAGATCTGCTGGCAGGTGTCATCCGAGGACAATGGAATTTAAATGGGTATTTATTAATTAATTTTCCATCCCTTATTACAATTTAACTCTTCACACTAATCTTTCTCAAATTTTTCACTAAACCTACAAAAATATTGGGTTGGTGTTGGTGCATGCAGATACATAGTTTCTGACTGTGATTCAGTTGATGTATTCTACAATTCCCAGCATTACACCAAGACCCCCGAAGAAGCTGCTGCTAAAGCTATTTTAGCAGGTTACTTCATTTCCTTTTATTTTTTCTGTTAAGAATCCGAGGCACTTGCTTCACAAGCCCAACTTCGCCCCTCTGAACCCTGTAATCTTTGAGAAGCGGGAAGAGAATAAACCAGAGACCTAACTATCCAACTGGGTCATCTTCATTTCAACATTTGTGCCCACAACATCATCAATTTACTTAACTAAAGACAATTGTTAATTAGTATTTGAATTCAGTTGAAGTAAATATTAATCTTGGTTGAACAGGGTTGGATCTCAACTGCGGATCTTTCCTAGGACAACACACAGAAGCGGCTGTCAGAGCAGGACTTGTTAATGAATCGGCCATTGACAAAGCCTTGTACAACAATTTCGCTACTTTGATGCGACTTGGGTTCTTCGATGGCGACCCAAGAAAGCAACTTTATGGGAAGCTTGGTCCCAAAGATGTGTGTACACCAGAAAACCAGGAGCTGGCTCGGGAAGCTGCAAGGCAAGGAATAGTACTGCTCAAGAACACTGCAGAATCACTTCCTCTATCTGCCACAGCCATCAAAAACCTGGCAGTAATTGGACCCAATGCCAATGTCACAAAGACCATGATTGGAAACTACGAAGGTATATATCTATAACTCAATGGGAAGAAGCAAAACCAGACTTTTTAATTTGTTTCTTTGTATATGATCACAGGCACTCCCTGCAAATACACAACGCCTCTGCAGGGTCTCGCTGCTCTGGTTTCGACAACTTATCAGCCGGGTTGTTCCAATGTGCAATGCAGCACTGCACAGGTAGATGAAGCTACGAAAATCGCTGCCTCGGCAGATGCAACCGTGCTTGTAATGGGCGCCGATCAATCGATTGAGGCGGAGAGTCGCGACCGGACTGACCTTCTTCTTCCAGGACAGCAGCAACTATTGATAACACAAGTTGCAAAGGCAGCCAAGGGAGCTGTGATTCTCATAATAATGTCCGGAGGGGGATTTGATATTTCTTTTGCCAAAAATGATGATAAAATTACAAGCATTCTATGGGTTGGTTACCCTGGAGAAGCTGGAGGAGCTGCCATAGCTGATGTTTGTTTTGGACTATATAATCCAAGTAAGTCTTTTAATAATCAATCTCTCCGTAACTATCAAGAAATTGTAGATTTATCTCTTACCCGTTGGTATTCTTGATTCGTTTTCAATGATCCAATAATAAAGTCATGGGTTCGAAACAATGGAGATAAGTACAATTTGAGGTACTGGACAAGAGATAAATCCACAATTTTTTGACAATGCATCGCAGTTGCAATTTGAATTGACAATGTGTTTTATAAATGACAAATGGCCATGTTACAGGTGGACGATTACCGATGACTTGGTATCCACAATCTTATGTGGAAAAGGTTCCAATGAGTAACATGAACATGAGAGCAGATGCTTCAAATGGGTATCCAGGGAGGACTTACAGATTTTACACAGGGGAAAAAGTTTATTCATTTGGAGATGGATTAAGTTATTCAAACTTCAATCACCAATTGGTTAAAGCACCAAAGCAATTATATGTGGCATTAGAGGAAAGTCACATTTGTTACTCATCCAAATGCAAATCAGTTGATGCTGTTGAACAAAGTTGTCAAAACTTGAATATTAAAATACATCTCAGAATTAAAAACAATGCAAGTATAAGCGGAAGCCATACAGTATTTGTGTTCTCTACTTCTCCAAATGTTCACAACTCAGCGCAGAAGCACTTATTGGCTTTTGAGAAAGTGGTTTTAAAAGGGCAAGAAGAAGCAGTAGTGAAGTTCAAGATTGATGGGTGCAAGGATTTGAGTGTTGTTGATGAGAATGGAAACAGAAAGATTGCATTGGGAGACCATGTGCTTCATGTAGGAAGCTTGAAGCACTTATTGAATGTGAGGATTTGAATCAACTCCTTTATGATTATTATTTTTCTTTCTCACAATGGGAAATTAAGCTTCAAATTATCGTTGAAAGCAAGTTATGCCAAATCAAAAAATTTGAACTTTCCAAGTGGATTAATGCTGGCCTTCTTATTTTCAAGTAATTTACTTTTTCTTTCGTAGAAAAATAATGCGTAATGTTATTGACGAAATATGGAATGCACAAATTCCTTGATTCATGTTGGTTGTGATCAAGGAGCAATTCTCTCATTCAATCAATCCATAATTTGTGTGATTGATTGAATAATTACATTTAATTGTTTTCATTGTTTTCCATTTTTACAATTACAAAAAGTGTATAAATTAGCACTGTACAGTTTTATACAATAATGAAATATACAGAAATCTTTTCCTCTTTTCTTTTCTCTCAGCATACTTTGGCAGTATCAACATCCTGAACTGCTACTCTTTGCATCTTCATATCAATTCCTTACATGGTATCACATAATCTTCATGCTTCCGCACAAACAAGCCTCTCTTTTCTGTCCCTGAAATCAAACATAAAACTCGTTTTAGTGTTTTATTTTTCTGCAAATGGCAGATAATCCAAACCAAACTCAATCAAATACAGCAAACTAAACAAATGCAAATCCAACTCCAACCGGCCCAAATCCAAACCAAACCAGTCCACTCCTAACCAGTTCAATCCCAATCAGCCCAAACACACAGACCAGGCCTGACCCAGCCTGTTACCCATATGGAAAGTCGGGTTATGACCCAGATCCTTTTACCTGACCCAACTCCTCTTGGAATACCGGGTCACAACCCGGACTCTGTTTCTCAAACAGGTACGGATCCAAATCCCTACCCGTACCCATTTCGCTTCATCCCAGCCACCAACAACGGTCGCCTTGAACTAGGCGACATTCTATTTTTGTCGGTTTCCGATGGACCAGAATTGGTCCTCATCAAACAAACCCTTATGGGTTCAGACAATTATGCATCCTGGGCTCGCGATTTCTGACGAGCTCTCAACGCAAAAGACAAAGAGCTCTTCCTCGACAAAAATTTCCAACCACCACCACAGCCACACCTCCAACGCCACTGGAACCGCTGCAACACATTGGTCTGCTTATGGATCAGTAATTGCATCTTTACAGATGTATCGACTGGACTCCCACCAACAGAGATGGCCGCCGATATATGGGCATACATCAAAGAGATGTATGGGAAACTCGATCTCACCAAAACATACACTCTTCGGCAGCGATTGATCGAACTCAAACAAGGAAACACTTTGGTGACCACTTATTTCAATCGGCTCTCCGCCATTTGGAACGAGTTGGACACTGCCGAAGAAGCTCTTGAAAGGCTGCCGGAAACTCTCCACCAGTACCAACAGATCCGCGATCACGATCGCCTGTCGCATTTTTTGCTCGGGTTGAACGAAAGCTTTTATGCTTTTCGCACCCAAATTCTGGCTACGTCTCTACCACCTTCTCTTCGCCGAAGTTTTCAACTGCCGGTGCTGGATGAGAGCCAATGCCAGTTACACTCCGATCGGCCATCAACTGACTCTTTGGTTTTTGTAAGACTCAAGGAAAACAAAGATGTGCATTCGCGGCTAGGGTAACCTGCAAAAGAAAAAGGCATGAATTTATATGCAGAGATGAAAGGCCCATATTTCATCTCGCGATCTAACGGCTAGAAGCTAATTACGTTTTTAAACGCATCCAACGGCTCAAATCGAGCCACATCACAATCAGAGTCCAACAGGTCAACCAACTGGTTAAACGGGCCCAAGTCTTGGTCAAACGGATCCAGAAACGAGTCCAATGGATTAGACAATTCACAATCTAATCGAGGGTGATTATATTGTGAATATTGCAAAAGAACAAATCATGATCGAGACCATTGCTAGAAATTACATGGAAGTCCTAAAGACAAAAATAACAATTCTTCTTCTTTTCAGGTTGATTCAGTTTCTTCTAGCAATCCGCAAGCACCCATTCTCACTTCGGATCAATATAATCAATTGCTCCAGCTTCTGAATAATGCTCCCACCGCACCTACAGCGTCTTATGCAGGTACTTCTTACTGCTTCAATTTAATTACTACTAACATGTGGATTATTGATTCAGGGGCTAGTGATCACATCATTTGTAATCCAAAATTTTTCAACTCTATTTGCACTACCTCATCCACCTCTGTTCGCATGCTGAACTGAAACATAACCCGGGCCACTCACAGAGGAACTATCCAATTATCCGAAAATTTATTCCTTAAAAATGTTCTATGTGTCCCTACTTTTCATTTTGACTTCATATCAGTATCCAAACTATGCGAAGACAATACTTGCACTATAAAATTTTGTCCTAACACATGCGAATTTCAGGACCCTTCGACTAGGAAACTGATGGGGTTGGGTAAGGTTCATAGAGGTCTATACTACTGGGCACCTGCTAAGTCTTCTAGAATTTTTCATCCTTGTATTACAACTAGTAAAATTACCAATTGTAATGCAACAATTAATAAAAACTCTTTGATTCTCCATCAAAGATTAGGTCACAGTGCTACTATTCCCCAACCTCATTATCCCATCTGTCCATTAGCTAAACAAGCCCGAATTACTTTTCCCCATAGCACTTCTACTACGATACAACCTTTTGCCCTAATCCATCTTGATATTTGGGGACCTTATCACACTCCAAATCATGATGGATCCCGATTTTTCCTCACCATTGTTGATGAATTTTCTCGGGGTACATGGACTTTTCTCATGCAATCCAAAGCCCAAACACTTACCCACATCACACACTTTCTAGCCATGGTCAACACACAATTTCATACTTCTATCCAAAGGATTAGAACAGACAATGCTAGAGAATTCTTTAATCATAATTGTTCTTCCCTTTTTTCATCACTTGGGATACTGCATGAAAGCTCTTGCACATATACTCCATAACAAAATGGGGTTGTCGAACGAAAACACTGTCATCTCCTAGAAGTAGCCCATGCCCTTAAACACCAAGCCCACCTACCTATCTCATTTTGGGGCGAATGTGTGATCACTGCTACCTACCTGATCAACCGCATGCCTAGTGGAGTCCTTCATGGAAAGACCCCTTATGAGGTATTATTCAAGAAGCCATCATCTCTTGATCATCTTCGAGTTTTTGGTTGTCTTTGTTATGCTGCCACTCTTGGATCACATGATAAGTCCGGTACTCGGGCTACCCGTTGTGTTTTTATGGGATATCCTATGCTTCAGAAAGGATACATGCTATATGATCCAGTTACAAACAAGTTTTTGATCTCCCGAGATGTTGTATTTCATGAAGAAATTTTTCCATTTGCCACAGAAGACATTGTTCCATCACCATCACCATCACCTTAAGTGTTTCCTGACAATGATACTCTTCCAGATCCTCTGTTCACTATGGTTCCTAATCCACCAGTTCCTCAGCCTAGCACTCCTACTATTGACTTTGACACACCCAACACTGATAACACTACAGCAGATCCACCGGATCAACTCCTTATTCCTCCACCCAGATCTCCTGTTCAGGCTCCTAATATTCCTACCCGTCGCAGCACTCGTCAGACCAAACCACCAATCTAGGCAGTAGATTATGAGTGTCCCACCATTTCAGATCCTTCAACTCCACCGTATCCCACCTCAAATTATGTGACTTATGATCGTCTCTCTCCTATATATAGAACTTGCATCAGTAAAATCTTCGCAGAAATAGAACCCACTAGTTACTCAGAGGCTGTTCAACACTCTCACTGGCGTCAAGCCATGGCTGCTGAGCTTACTGTTCTCTCTTAGAATCATACTTGGGATCTCGTGCCTCGCCCCTCTCATAGAAAACCTATTGGCTGTAAATGGGTCTACAAAATCAAGCATCGTGCTGATGGTTCCATAGAACGGTACAAAGCTCGATTAGTGGCCAAGGGATACACTCAGCGGGAAGGTTTTGATTATCAGGACACTTTTTCCCCCATAGCCAAACATGTCACCTTTTGTACTTTTCTTACCGTAGCTTCTGTTCGTGATTGGCCTCTCTATCAAATGGATGTTCATAATGTCTTTCTTCATGGGGATCTTCATGAAGAAATATATATGGATCTTCCACCGGGATTACGCAAACAGGGGGAGAACACAGTATGTCATCTGCAGAAATCCCTCTATAGGCTAAAACAAGCATCCCGACAATGGAATGAGAAATTCAGCAAAGCTCTCACTGGCATAGGATTTGTTCAGTCCAAACATGACTATGCATTATTTACCTGGAACAAAGGTAAAACTTTTATTGCTCTTATCATATATGTTGACGACATTCTTATTACATGAAATGATGAAACAGGCATCAAATCCTTAAAGGAGCATCTTAACAAACAATTCCGAATAAAGAGTTTAGGAGAGCCAAAGTATTTTCTAGGCATTGAAATTGCAAGATCCCTAACAGGAATATCCCTTAGCCAAAGAAAATATGTCTTGGAACTTATCTTTGATTCAGGACTATCAGGATGCAAGCCAAGTATCATTCCAGTAGAATATAATACAAAGCTGACTACTCAAGAATATGAGAGTGGGATATCATCTTCCGAAAATGATCCACCACTAGAAGATCCTACAAAGTATCAAAGACTTGTTGGGTGATTGATCTATCTCACCATGACTCGTCAAGACATTAGTTATGCAGTCCACATTCTTAGCCAATTCATGCATGGGCCTAAACAATCTCACATGGATGCAGCAATAAAATTTCTAAAGTACTTGAAAAGATGTCCTGGATTAGGACTCCTCCTTCTCCGAGACAAAGAATTAGTTGTCATGGCTCATTGTGACTCAGATTGGGCCACATGTCCAATGAGAAGAAAATCACTTATAGGTTTCTGTATCAAGCTAGGGGGGGCTCTTATTTCTTAGAAGACCAAGAAACAATCAACAATATCTCTATCTTCATTAAAAGCCGAATACAGAGCCATGGCCAAAACAACATGTGAGAACATCTGGATTTTGGGGTTATTGGAAGATCTAAAGGTACAAGTAAGAAAGCCTGTCCTTTTATACTGCGATAACAAAGCTACAAATGACATCGCAGCAAATCCAGTATTCCATGAAAGAACAAAACATATAGAGATTGATTGCCACTTTGTCAGAAACAAGATACAAGAAAGGGTAATCAAGACTTTGCACATTCGTACTTCAGAACAATCAGCAGACATTTTCACAAAGCCATTGTGCAGCAGACAGCATTCATATTTACTTAGCAAGCTTGGAGTTTTTGACATTTACAAACCACAAGCT